ATCAGTCAAAATATAACAATGGAAGCGTTCGCTTGAATGGGCCGAGCTCGAAGTGCTATGTAATTGTAAACCCAATTTCGGCTAGGCTTATCGGCTTATAAACAGCTAAACAAATCGAATTCCATTAATTTATAACCAAATTGGCTAGATTATTAATTCTTTAAAACAAAATATTAATTTGTAAAACTATATGCAGCTTGCTGTTCAAAAGAAAAAAAAAACACAATAAATTAAGAGCAGAACATATCTAATTCGTTTAATCGCTGCAATTTAAAACGCACTTTTGCGATAAAGCAAATTAAAGACAATAAATCTATGTACTCCATTAAGTTTGCTCTCAATTTTCCCTTGGCTGACCCCTGGACACTGTGTGCTCGCATGTGTGTGTGCGTGTGTGTGTATCAGTTTCTCAGTTCACGGCTCAACATGATTTACCGAGGCTCTCAACTGTAAGCAGCAGAGTATACCCCAACTATCGAACCGAGCTGCTGCCACATATGAAAAATTACACGCATATATCACTTGAATGGCGCACAATTTGTGCAGATAGACACACCCGAAAATTCATTGAGGCGTAATAACAAAGCCAATGAACACCTTGATGACAGTTAACAAAGTCAACACAAAGGCGACAGGGCCAGAGCTGGGAGTAGCCAGGAGCAGGAGGAGCAGGAGGAGCAACAAAAACAAAGCCAATAGGCAAAACCAACGGCAACTACAAGAACAACATTGCAACAAAAACAACAAGAACAGCAGCAGCATGACAACACAAAAACAAAAAGCGAAAAGATAGCGCAAATTACAGACAAGCTTATTACGCAAAATTTCGCTTAATTAGCAGGCAGACATCAGAGACGCACAAAAGTAGGCAACAGTTGCCGACTCGGGCAGACAGGCAAAGTAAATAAGAGCTGCCTGCTGCCTGCTGCCTGGCAAAAACTACACTAACTCACACTATCTCTCTGACTCTCTCGCTCGTTCTCTCTCTCTCTCTCTCTCTCGCTCTCTCTGTCTTTTATACACACTCACGCACACACTCATGGACTTATGGCACCTTTGCCAGGCAAAGCATAATATATGAACTGACCTTAACTACTCGCCTGCACGGCAGCAGCTCCTCTAAGTAACAACAATAAATACAACAGCAGCGAATAACTAAAGCAAGCAGGAACAGTTAGCCCGAACTAGCTAATACCCTTACAAACAGTTGTGCGCTTTAATCAGCCGATACTTAGCAGAAGTTGAAGAACAGGTGAATCGCATTAAGAATTTAAAGCTAATAGCGAAATGATTTATCAATTATTTTCTTACTTAAAAGGAGAAGTTTACAGCTATTGCATTATGAGAAATTCATATGAACTGTCCGAAACCCAATTAGACTACACCGCATACATAGGTTGCAGATAGTAAAGTAATCGAATTAACTTGGCCTCAAATGTAATATGCCCGTTTTGGCCTACAGCAGAGACCTGTGGATATTCTGAAGGCAGCAACATGTGAGAGCAGCGAAAATTTACTTGGCCAAAGGAATATTAAATGCCGCGTGGGAATTCTCGCTGTTTATGACTGCAGCTGAATTTCCAACCGCACAGCGACCGAGTTGGCAGGGCAAAAGGGAAAAGAGGGGCACAGACACAGCGAGTGAAGGCCGGGCGAGGGGTGGGGGTCGCTATGCTTCAGTAATTTCACTTAAGTCATTATGAGCCATTAATAAAGCCTGCTGTGTGGACTACTGGCCACTGGCACTCCCTGCTAGCCTGCATAGGTATAATTGTACACACGACTATTGTGTCTGGGGCAAGGCGCACCACCCCATACCCCACCCCCATCCCCAATCCCGTCCCCATCCGGACAGCCTCTTCCCAGCCATTCGTTACCCATCGAAAGTCAACCACGTGGATGATGCGCCGAAATGTCTGTTACAGATGGCGATTCGAGTCAGTTTGTGAGTGTTTGCTGCCTTTAACGCACAAGTTTTTCTTTTACTATTCACACACACACAAATGCAGACACGCACACACACAAGCGTATGTATCTGTTGAGTATTCAGTTTGAATTTGCTTATTTCATGGCTTCAATTTTCAGTCCATTTTTTGTTTTGGCTATAGAAAAACATTTTTATTGCAGTCTATCATTGGCAAAAGCAAAGTCGTTACCGCATTTCGCATTTTTTTATATTCGTTTTGTTGTTGTTGTTTTTTTCTTTATTTCTTTTCAAAAAATGCGATTCAATTAATTTAAAAAACATTTTATGAGCGTACGTTCAATTATTTTGAAGTAATTATGAACGTGAATACGCGTTTCGTGAATAAGCCTTAATATTCATTTCGAATTGAATTCGTTTTTTTGTATTAATTATTTTATCTTAGATAACACTAAGCTCATTACATAGTGATATCTTTATAAAGAACATAAAAAACTCTAGAAGCTAAAACAATTTGTTTAAATGCGTTAAATTAATGTTTTATCTGATATTAATTTTTGTTGAAGAACTACTTATACATTTTGGTTATTATTTAAATATTTATTTGGTTAAAACTGAAGCGCGTCTTCTTCATTTAGACACAATGTACGTGTTGAGGAGGTCAAAAGTGCCGCGTATCTATCTCATAAATTCACACGAATGTGGATACGTTCTTGTTAGTTCTTATGAGGGTGTGTGTCGGAATTCATTAGCAAGCCAAGCAGACCCGATTAATATTCAGTTTACACTGAACTCACCCCCCATTCACATCATGATAATACATTTAATTCTTTAGTGAGTGTTGAGCTGTCGCTGACGTTGAGGGTTTTCATTTCGATTGTCATACTTGGAATAATTAAAACTGAGAAGACTTTCCCTATGACTCATATGAGCAATATGATCATATCAAAGAGATTGCCTTGCTGCAATCTATGGTCAATTGAGCGTGCAGAAATCTTTTTTATGACCAGAACTTACGGGAGCTGTATTGAGAAAATTTAAATTGAATACATGTTGTTTGGACGGTGGAGTATTGTTCTATAGGGATACAAAGTGTGTCAAACTATTTCTGAATAATTTGTTGCATTGCATTTGGAGACTTCTCGGGAATGAAAGTAATATCCTTACCTTACCCTTAAAGTATTTCCTAATGTGTTATTCACTTCCTAGTTGGCTTGTGGTCGAAAAATGTTTCAATGGTTCTGTGGATTTTCACTGGATACTAAACAGACTCATGCACAGGGTTCAGCGATCTAGATGAAGAGTTATTTACTGGCCTGGAAAAGCTGCAGCAGCTGACAAGTTTACAGCTCAAGGAGTTCCGTGAAGCTTACAAGTGGAAGGTTGCAGTCGGGTGTTTATTGACAAAAATTGCAACTTGCATTTCTCACAATTGACTCTTAAAAAAAAATAAAAATGATTCATCTACCATTAAACCTGTATATTTCCCTTGGATTTGCAGCTTGCCAAAGCAGTCCTTTAAAACTGATTTTAATTCGCGTTTCATGAGAAATATTTGTATCTTTCAAATGATACAGACTTTCTATGAAAGGTGTTTCTCTCGGGCTTGAATTAGGAGAGGTACAATCCATAATTTGTCTTTCAATAAATGTTGGTGTGTATTATTATTGTTTGCTTAAGGCACCCGAATTGACTTCACTTTCGATAGTATGGAAAACTTTTAGAATCTTTTGTGCTAAACTTGTTCTTGTTGTTGTTGTTTTCGGTGAAGTTTTTGCCATGTTTTCGGATAACGTTGCCAGCTAGACGAACGGACGGGACACTTTTACACTTTGCCACTTTTACTTTCATAACCGAAAAGTCAGTCTTCAGACATGTTGCTGCCTCTCTGCTACAGCAGCTCTGCTGAGCTCTTCGAATAGCCTGTGCGCCACTCTTATACGGTTCAGTTTGGTCGCTCGCTGCTAAAATAGTTCGAATTTATATTCAGCTATTGGAGCTGCCTGCGTAGGAGAGTTTTGTATGAGAGCGTGGCTGCACAGTTCGAAAATATTAGCAGAGTTGTGCACCTCTTCGGCGGCGGCAAGGCGCAAGCGTCGTGGCTGCTGTGCGAGAGTCGTGCCTTGGCTATACGAAGCTGTCCACGAAGCGGCTGTACTAAAAGATGAAACGAGCCTGAAATCGTTTTTAGATATAGAGATACACAGAAAAATGACAAAAATTGCCAAAAATGTTGAAAGAAATAATAAATTTGAAAGTCAATTAATAAATATATAACTTTTTAGTCAAACATTTTAAAAATTTAATTAAAACTTTTTTTGAAGTTAAAATCATATAGATGTTTGTTACAACAAGAGCTGGTTAGCCGCAACCTCTTTCTCGTCGCATGACTGGCTTAGCAATGACTCAAACCGGCAATAACTCGCCTCGCTTTCATCGTATAAGTTCGCGTTTGAGTTCGAGTTGGCTGCAGCTTCGTTCTGTGAGCCACCTGATTCCAGGTTCGAGTTCGCTTCAATCGTCTGTGAGCGGCGCTTCGAGTTGGACCTGTCGGGCTGACGTATCTACGGAGGCGGCATTTGTATCTGCGTTTAGTCTTCAACGGTCTGCGCGTTGTTTATGTACGTCGCGTGTCTCTAGCGTGTCGAGTGCAACAACGATTAAAACAAAACAAAGTCGAGTGGAAACGAGTTGGAAATTAACGACAAAGCACAAACAACTGAAAGCCGCTAAAAAGCATTTGCATGGCTTAAACACCTAAAAGGTTATTAAATTCAGTTTAACAGTTTGAATTAAATAACAAGCTTACGCTCAGTGTGTGTGTGTGAGTGTGCGTGTGTGTGTGTCTTTGTGTACTTCGTGTCTATTGCGCAAAATGTTTACCCAAATGCATGGCTCTAATGCATGGCCAAGCCTAAAACAGGCAGCCGCTTGCAACTAAACACAAAAGATACAAAGTATCTGCAACTGTAAACAGCTACAAAAAAATATAGAAAAAATTCCACGTGTTGAGCAACGCGGCCAATCAAATAGTTAAAAATCACAACAACAAATATACACATCAAACGGCGGCAAGATGCAGTTTTGGATAACTTTGACATTTGCATTGCTTTCGGGTAAGTTATTAAGCGAAGCGTCGCCTTATGTGCGCCAAAAAGTATCTCATAGATGCAGCGCTGCTGTCTATCTTTGTTTTTTTTGTATTATTTTGTATTTTGACCGCTGTGGACTGCGCACCAAAAAGTTCATGACATTTGACTGGGCTACGAAAAAAAAAACTAAAATACATACATATAAAATAGAAGATGAGTCTCAGACGCAGACGCAGACGCGGCAGCGCTTATCTTTCCATATGAATTGTGTGGCTCCGCAGACTCCGCGGATACACTCGCACATAACTCCTTTTGTCTGGCCTGTCTGGGACCGTTGCTGCTGCTGGTTTTTCTTCTGTTTGCTGTTGACATTTAAACACTTGTTTTTGCCTCCCGTCGCCGCTGCTGCCACTGCTGCTGCTGCTGCCACTGCTGACTGTGGTTTCTACTTCACAATACGAATACGTATAAAAATTGCTGTTTTTGTTTTTTGCTTTTCGTTGTTGTTGTTGTTGTTGGTATTTTTTTTTGGCCATAGCCAAGTGTTGCGCTAACACACGGCGCACTTGCCACCAACTCAGCAGCCACCCCCTCCTCTGCCATCGCGCTGCTGTTGCCCACGGGCTCGCTTTAAATGCAAAAGTTTTTCGTATAAATTTTTTCTCAGTTATTTTCCTCAACATTTTTGCAGCTTCAACTTCTGCTGCCGCTGCTTCTTCTTCCACTTCTTCATATTTTTTTTTGTTTTATTTTTATATTTTTACTTTTTTGCCACTGCTGCTGTTTATTTGATTTATGCGACATAATTCGAGGCGAACTTTGTGGCACACATAATTTAATTTTTGCCATCGCACTTTGTTGTTGCTATTGCCCGCTGCTGCAGGCTGCAGTCGGCAGGCTGCTCCTGTTTTTTTTTTTAATTATTTGCAATTTTGCATTTTTATTGTAAAGTCAGCCGCGCTTTTGTTGCCCAGCACTTTGTTTGACTGCTAATTGAAAACTATTTGCATAAAAAATGTAAAACATTTAACAAGTTTCACACAATTTGTGCATCGAATTTGTGCTTGGCCGTTACAAAGTTCTGTTTTTGATCCAATGCTAATGAATTGAGGCCAAACTCAGTCGCTGCATTGATGAAAACCCCGATGAAAATGTTTGGAAATCAAATTAAGAGTCTTAGATGTGATCGGTCCAACTGCTGTCATCGAGTCTTCGTTAACACAGTCCTAATGATTTTACACCACATGACGAATTTATTAGTGAGCATTGAGAATCTTTAATTAACGTGCTGTTAATAGAAGCTTTAAATAAATAAACGTGTATTTGCATTAACGATTCAAAGTGGCGCAAAGACAAAAAAAAGTATAGAAATAGATTTTGAGGGGGATTACCAGTCAATAATTTTATTAAAGATTTGCTTTGTTGCTGATAAAAAAAAGTTGTCAAATGTGCGAAACCAAAAAAAATGCAACAGAGACATTTAAAAGAGCCTCAATTTGATTGCCCAATATTCCCCCACTTTTCCCTTATAATTGCTATATCCCAGTTTGATTGCGCTTTATTACAAAATAACTGAGTTAATAAAGACGAAAAATCCATTAAGAGCAATTTGAAAAGATTTTTGACATAACGATTTTCGTACATATTCATTATGTGTACTTTCAAAATTGCTTAAATATTTTGTGGCACATCATTTTAATTTGGAACCTTCGTCAGGACAACAGTTTAAGGGGGGGCCCAGCAGTTGCAGTTGGCATCGTTATGACCGCAGCTCCAGTTGCTCGGGCTGTCGCTGGTTTTGGCGCACGCCCAGGGACATGGACATGAGCAGCAGGAGCAGCTGTCCCGGCATGTGGTCGTAGGCACCAGCTCCATTTGCACGCGTTCAAAATTAATACCAGTCAAGCTGCAAAAGGCAAACAAGCCAAACTGGCAAGCGGGCAAACTGGCAGGGCAGGCAAAAAACACAAAAACTCAAAAACACAAAATAAAAGTAGAGAAAAACCGGCAGGCAGGCTGTTAAAAAGAAATACACCTGCCCCAGAGCCCGCAATGGGGCAAGCAAAACACAGTTTGAGGCAGTCAAATTTTCAACATGTGTAGCAAGCGGCCAACCTACAAAAGACGGCACAAAAATTATGATTACGTTCATTTTTTTTCACTCGCTTTTTAGCACAACTAGAAAAATTGAGGATGTGGTTAAGCTCTGAAAGACGAGGCGGGAGCCGAGAGTCAGCGGGTGAGAGGGTGAGATAGAGTGAGAAGTTGAATAAAAAAAAAGTGTAGAATTTACAAATCTCTTTTGCCTACACACTCGTAAGCGCTGATAGGCAGCACCAGGGGATGACGGGGGGCAGATGGCGTACAGAGCTTTAAGCCAAATATGTAGGTTTATGCGATGTGTATGGATATGTGTGTATAAGTGTGTGCGAGTACGAGTATGCAGATGAACGTCCGACTTTACTATATAATCCCAGCGATTTACCTAGGCAAATTGAATTAAAGCTAAAACCTCGGCAAACGGACGGCCCTCGGCTCATAGCTGGACTTAGCACCGATTTGGCTTAAAGCCGTAACTTAAATCTGCGTTGGCATAAAACTTTTGACGCACTTGTCTAAAACTTGCGCCACCATCGTGTCTGTGTGTGGGTTATAATACGTAACCACTTTGCAGTGCATTGAACTGGTACCGGCTAAGCACTACGGCTAATCGGTGGGCAGCAGCAGCAGCTGCTAAGAGTCCCAGCCCGAGTACCAGCCCGAGAACTACGAGTACTTGTCCAGTGAGCCACTTGCTCTGATTAAAAAAACTGCTGCGAATTATGTTGAACAGGTTGTGGGTTGGGGCTGAGCGGAGCGGGAGCGGGCACGGGAGGAGGTTAGCAGACAGCCCACATATAAGAGTGCAGCATAGAACATTAAAAGCAGCATGAGCAGGGGCCGAAGGCGGGGGGCAGGTGGACCGGTACAAGACCTGAACTGACCGCAATTGCCTTAGCAAAATCTGGCTGTGCTCCACTTGGAACTGGCCCAAAACTTTTGTGTAATATTCTTACAGAGCTCTTAACCGATGCTCTGCATATGTCTGAGAGCTTCGAGTTTGCAGTGTTTCAATTATTTAAAGGGTTCCATTACTTTGTTTAGTTTAACTAATTAAAGTACTAAAATATTTTCCACTTTTAAGTCGATCAAATGAAGAGCTTTGTTAAAAGCATATTTTTAAACATTATTATTGAGGTTTATGTCTGATAACAACTGATTATTTTATTAATTTTTATCATCATTTTTATTTGTAATATTTATATTTTTTTTATTAAAACAACGTTTAAGTAAAATAACATAACATATCCAGCTTCGTATCCTCGGCAATTCTGTCAACATTTTATTTGCACTACATTTTTAGTTATTACCTGTCAAGTCAATTCATTTTAAATAAGTTTCATTTATGCTTGCATTTTAGGCTACTTTTGTCTATCTGTATCTGCAGCTGGATTCCTTTGGCTTATGTACCTTGTGCTAGTTATAAGTAAAAGCTATCTACAGATTATTCTGTCGCCATCCTTTCACAATTCTCTCATACGAGCATAGTTAAGTATTTGCCAGCTCATGCTGGGGCTGACGATTGCAACTTTCCCAGCAAATTCCAAAATGCTCTGAGCCGGGCCCATGCCCAGGTCCAGGCCCATGCTGAGGCTGAGGCATTTACCTAATAGACCTACCAACGTGTGCAACTTTGTTGAGGGTTTCGTCTGCTCCTGCTGCTGCTGCTGCTGCCCCCATCTCTCGTGTTGGATAATTACAACCCCTGTCTTACCTTCTTTTTTTTTTAAATGTCCATTTGTACAACTCACTCCCGGCTTTGACTTTGACTATTCGATGTTATCCAGCAACTTGGAGACCCGCACAAAATGCTGGTCATTTGTTTTTATGTAAATAAAATGCGCTTCCAAGTTGTTATTGCTGATGTTGTTTTTGTGCCTCTTGTTGCTGCTGGTGTTGTTGTTGTTCTTGTTGTTGGCTCATGCATATTTGCCTGTACTCAACGAGTCGCTCAGTCTGACACTCTTTTTATACAATATAAATTTATATATGTGTGTAGTTGTTGCTCCTGTTGTTGTTTTTCTGTGTTTCGCAAACATTTTCTGTTTGTGCCGCCTTTGGCTGGGGTTGGTCAAAAGCGCACAACATTTTCCTTTTTCGTCGTGTTTTCTGTGTGTGTGTGTGTGTAGTTGTTGTTGTTGTTGTCTTTTTTGCCAATTCACTTCCGCCACAGACTTTTGCCAGCAAAACGGCAACATCGAAAAAAATTAACACGACAAAAAAATATAATAATAACGAAAAGCAGCAGAAAATTGCTCGCAGCTTTGGTGCGTCTTTTGCTGTTGTTTTTGTTGTTTTTTTTTTTTTGTATTATTCTTTTGCTTACATTTTCTTTGTGCAATAAAAATAAATAACAGTTTATGAAAATTTGCCAAAATATCAACAGCAACATCAACATCAAGAGCAGCAGCAACAGCAACAACAACAGCAACAACAACAACAACAGCAAAAGCAACAAAGTGAAGTGACTTTTCCTGTTTTTTGGCGGCGGCTTTGGGAACGCGTTCTGCTTGGATTTTCATTCTATTGTAAAAAGCTTTTTCGTAGCTGCCCATTTAAAGGGCGTTGACAACAGTGAGGAGTGCAAACCCCCACTCTCCTTCTACTCTCTCGCCCCACCCCCCGCACCTTAGTACCAACTCCCACCCGCCCATTAAACACCCCTCATAGCAAATTTGTGCTAACGAGTTGTCGTCGTTCGTTTGGACTGCAAAAAAAGAAAGAAAATAAGGAAAACCTAGCTGAACTGAGCTCCGAATAGGCCCATATGCCCATCATGAACCGATGCTGCCAATGCTGTCTGATGTGCTTCTCCCCCTCCTTAGTGTTGTCTTTGTGCTAAATTGAACCAATTTTTTGTGTTTTTTATATAACTTTTTTTTTGCTTATTTTTTGTGTTTTTTAACTGCTATACGCTTTCATTT